CAACAACAAAAATAACTGTTACCACTGGGAGAGCCCTGTGGTAGAGCGCTTGACCACCATGCACAAGGTCATGAGGTCCTAAATTCAATCTCTAATACCAGCAACAACAACAAAAAGTGTTTTCTATTTGCTTCAAATAAATAAACTATTCAGTTATGTGAAATACAGGGACAGTTGCAGTTGCTCTTGTCAAATTTGATAGGTTAAAAAGTTTATAAACTACACAATGGCTAGGAAGAAAGGAGTAACCAAAGGAGGAAGGCTGGAGGTCACTCATCTCAGGATTCCACCAGTCACTCACTCAATGCTCAACACTGACAGTGACTACCAGCTTATAGGGAAAGTTAGATAGAAAGTACTTCACCTAAAAACACAGCTTTGGGATGTGGATTTGGCTCATCTGGTAGAGCAATTGCTTGACTTCAGTGAGGCCCGGGGTTCATACTCCGGCACCATAAATAAGTAAATATTACAGCTTCTTCTCAAATGGAACTCTAGATAAGGGCTTAGGACCAAAAAAAAAAAAAAAAAAAAAAAAAAAGTGACAATCTGAGAGACAATTTGATCATCATGATGCCTGGCAGTTCAGGAACACAAGACACTGTCTATACCTCATTTCCCAATGTAGTAACAACAGACGCAGCCACAGCATTTACACAAGATCAGCACACCTGCAATCCTAGCTCCTGGGAGGCTGAGGCAGGAGGATTCCAAGTTTGAGGCAACACTGAATACTCAAAAAATGGAATGTCCCACTGTCTAGCTGCCTCATCCTCCCCTTAGGGAAAAATGTCCTGTGGGTTAGGAGTTGCTGGAGTGTTTAGCACTGGTGTTGAAACCCTAACGTGAGCTCTGACTTTCAAGCTGAGAACCACCACCTGGATGGCCATGGCTCAGGTTCCAGATATTTTAGAAACTCAGATCAAGTTCTTCCTCCCTCAAAAGTTGCTAAACAACTTTTATAACTTAGCCTGGAAAAACAGAGGAGCTAGGACAAGTCAGTGTTTAATTCAGAATAAATCATCTTGGTGAGTTTCATTTTTGAGAGATCAGAAAATGAAAAGGACCCTGAGTCCAAGAGCGAGGACAGTTTAATAATGTCCACGGGATACTTAGGAAACACTCCTGAACTGAGAGCTTACCTCCTATCTTGTCACTTCAGCTGGAATACTTTGTTCTCATTAATGCTCTAATCTCCCACGAAAACAATGAATATTAAATAGTACCCACTTCCTTTTCCTTGTTACTCAAGGTTCCCTTAAGAATTCTACTTAGGGGCTGGAGAGATGGCTCAGAGGTTAAGAGCACTGACTGCTCTTCCAGGGGTCCTGAGTTCAATTCCCAGCAACCACATGGTGGCTCACAACCATCTACAATTCAATCCGGTGTCCTCTTCTGGCATATAGGCAGAACACTATATATGTAATAAATAAACAAAAACAAAAACAAAAAAAGAGCACTTGCAAAAAAAAGAGTCATTAAAAAAAAAAAAAGAATTCTACTTAGGGTGGGCGGTGGTGGCGCATGCCTTTAATCCCAGTACTTGGGAGGCAGAGGCAGGTGGATCTCTCTGAGTTTGTGACCAGCCTGGTCCACAAGAGCTAGTTCCAGGACAGCCTCAAAAGCCACAGAAAAACCCTGCCTTGAAAAACCAAAAAAGAAAAAAAGAGAATTCTACTTAGGCGGGTGAGAGAAACAGCTCAGTGGCTAGGTACTCTGCAAGAGCACTTGCTGCTCTTGCAGAGTACCTAGGTTTGGTTTCCAGCAACCACAGGGTGGCTTACAACTGGCCGTAACTTCCATTCCAGAGGATCTAATACCCTCTGCTGGTCTCCATAGGCTTCTATATACTTGTGGCGAACACACACACATGCACATAAAAATGAATAATGAAAAAAGCATCTATTTCTGGGGGCTGGAGAGATGGGTCAGCCATTAAGAGGATGTACTGCTCTTGCAAAGGACCTGAGTCCAGTTCTCAGCATATCAGGCAGCTCAAAGCTGCCTGCACTCTATCTCCAGGGGAATATGATGTCTTCTTCTCTTGGCCACCACAGGAACCAGCACCCACACAATTAAAAATAAATCTTTACTTGGCAGAAGAACATAAGAAATGAAGAAACTTAAGAGATTTTGAAAGAAAGCTAAAGACTAGAAGTAGTGTCTGAGTGCAACAACAACAAAAACATCTAAACCACTGGCATCAAATGTGAAAACTAAAACTATGTGGGACAAAGCAAATGTTAATTTGAAATTGCAACTTATGAATTCCTGCTTATGTTTCAATCCTGACTTCATCAAAACTGTGCTTACCTCCCTAAGACTCAGTTCCCTCCTCCGGTGTGGGGGCCTGGCCACATGGTGATTTTAAAGGACTGCCTGAGATGAGCTACATAAAACACTGAGCTGGCTACTGAATGCACACCTATCGAAATTGCAGCCATTAATTTGGTGTTATCACAAATCATGCAACTGAGCCTCTCAGGTCACCTCCAAGTCAGAAACGGTGTTTTCAGTACAGGACTTTGTAGCATCCACTTTGATTGATCAAAGGTCTTTGTTGGCTGTGCTCACTTCCTGGATTTCAACTATATTCCAGGGAGAGATGAGACCTTCAGACAGCAGAGTCAAAGGGGTGGTGTTAACATGAGATGAGATGTTTACTAATAAACCAGATAGACGGTGCCTCAATCACCCAGGTCCTCTAGGACTTCTATCTTCTGCTGTCTCTAAAAAACATTAAATTTGAGTACACAAAGTTATTCCATCGGTGGCCATCATAGCATTGGGTTTAAGAATGTATTTTGGTGCCCTGAGGTGGTGGTGCAAGCCTTTAATCCCAGCACTTGGAGGCAGAGGTAGGTGGATCTCTGTGAGTTCTAGACCAGCCTTGTCTACAAGAGCTATTCCAGGAAAGCCTCCAAAGCCACAGAGAAACCCTGTCTCAAAATGCTGCCCCCCCAAAAAAAAGAATTCATTTTGGGTTTTGAGGGAAGAGTTTGTTGGGGGAAGAGCTTGTTTTTGCAGCCAGCGTCTCATATAGTCCGTGCTGATTTTGAATCCCTGATCATCAGGATTCCACCTCTCAAATGCTGGGATTACAAACAAACACCATCACATTCACCAAGACATTATCTAAACCTTAGAAGATTCTCCAGATTTAATGAAATGCAGGAATTCACAGCTATTGTGTAGGGAAAGTTCATTCTAGTGCCTCTCTGCAATACCCAAATGAAATATGTATGCACTTAAGAGGGAGGGGCAGGGCCAACTCACTGGTGACGTGGAGCCAGGAGAACTAGATGAGGACGACATAGAGGAGACCTCAGTAGTACCCAGCGCTTGCATCTTAAGAGAACCAGTTATTAGAAGGCCACACTTAAGAATGAAAAAAACAGCTTGTTTCCCAAAGTGGCATGAAACTTTGCCAAGTAACTCACTCCCTTACAAACTCACATCTTTTTCTTTTTTTTTTTAAATGATGGGTGAAATCTTGAACCCTAAGACTTGTGTGCAGTCCACTTAACTGTAAGCACAGGCCTGACCTGACACCATCCCCTGCTCCAGTCCTTGAGGAGAACAGGATGAAGAGCAGGATGCCCTCTTCCTCCAGCGAGCCCCCCCCCCTTCGTGGGTGGCCTGGTTGCCACGTCAGGCCCTGCTCGCTCGCGGTCCTACCCATCCATCCTCCTCGAGCAAGTTTCCCATTGATTGCTGGGGACTCAGAGGCGACCCCCAAAAGCCCAAGGAGAGGGAAACGCCTACTAGAACCCCTCACACCCCGTCCTAAACTTTTCAGATCCAGCAGGACCTGGGGGCAGTTGCGCTAGTGCTCTGCACCCGGACGATCAAGTTCGCGGGCGGACCAAGTGCAGATCGGGGGCTCAGGGCTGCGACGGAGACCCCAACCCGTGTGCACACCCAGAGGGGTTTCAATGCCCGCAGAGCCGGCCGAGGTGGGTGTGTCTGGCCGTCGCGAGCCCCGCGCAAGCCTCAGAGAGACCTAGGGCCGAACGGGTCCTTCCGTGCGGTCCTGCCCCTCGCGCCTCGCCCCGGCGACCGCTCACCCGCACAGGAGCGCGTCTTCCAGATCTTCAGCAGTAGGATGACGATGGCCGCCAGGTGGGACAGGTCCCCAGTCAGCCGGAAGATGTTCATGGCGGCGGCGGTCGGCGCGGCGCAGCGGCCCCGGGGCTCGGCACCGACTCAGGACGCGGCGAAAGCCCCTGAGAGAGGAAGCGGCGAAAGATGGCGGGAGCGGGCGCGACGTGGCCAGGGACGTGGCCGAACTGCCGTCGCGCGCGCGGGGCAGCCTGGGAGAGCGGGCGACCGCTGGGCCACGCCCCTGTCACGCCCCTTAAAGGCCCCGAAACCCTGAGCAACCGGACCCTGCATCCCGGGTGGGCTGCCAACTGAGGACCCAGAGTGCTCCGCAATTTCCGTCTCCAGGGTTTCCGCCCGGGTGCCAGCGATTTCCTTTTTTTAAGTTTTGAAATGACATTCCATTGTGAGGATTGTCTTTTTTTTTTTTTTCTTATCCTACTAAGACAGTAAGGGTATCCCTCTTAGGAGCATTGCGAGGGTGTTAAGCACTGTTAAAATCTCTCCGGTTAAGAATGCGTACTTTTCGCGTGGAGGACTCAAGTTCAATTAGCAGCACCTACATCGTGCAGTTTACAATGCCTGAAACATTAGCTTCAGGGGATTCCAGGCTTTTGGCTTTTGAGGGCACCTGCATTCACGTGCACACACCCACACCTGCACAAACTAGCACACACATTTTAAATAAAAATAAATAAAAGTATTAATTTTTATTAAAAATTACACTAGGAGCTAGGTAGTAGTGGTGCACGCCTGTAATCCTGGCACTCCGGAGGCAGAGGTAGGCAGATCTCTGTGAGTTTGAGGCCAGCCTGGACTACAGAGTGAGTTCCAGGGCAGTCAGAGAGCTACACAGAGGAAACCCTGTCTCTAACCCCCCACCCCGCAAAACAAAAAACAAAAAAAACAACCAATTACATAGGGCTGGAGAGATGGCTCAGTGGTTGAGAGCACTTGCTGTTCTTCCAGAGGACCTGAGTTCTATTCCCAGCACCCACAACCGAAGGCTCCTTCACGAGAAATCTGACACTTCTGACCTTTGAGGGCACCTTCACTAGTACACACACACACACACACACACACACACACACACACACACACACAGGAGGTCTGGGGTTAAGCCCCCAGTCCTGGATTAGCCATCTCCCAGCCTTATTGTTAATGTTAACGTAAGGAGCATGTAAAGAGACTGTGAAAACGAAGTTGTAAACGGTCTGGAAGGAGAGACATGCTTGGAAGGCAACAGGAGTGGTTAAGTGAATGTGTATGTTGCTGATAGATAAGCATAGAGGAAAGTTCAGAGGAAACGTATAAAAACCAAGGAGGAACCAGAACAAAACATTGAGATGTGCCGAGCATGAGATGCTGTCCAAGCCCCGAAGCAAACTCTCCCCCACCAACCAAGCGACCCCGTGCCAGATCAAGATGGAGCACTGAGCTGGAGCCCTGGTATCCAGTTGGCACTACACTTTACTGTGCAAGCAGATCAAGAGGAACAAGAAGACTCGAAACCCAAACCTGAACGTGGAGGTACCCACATCACACTCATCTGGTCATGGTATATTATACCATGGCCCCTCAGATCCTTTTGCTTATTTGTTAGATGATTATTTTGCTTATGCTGATTGGTTAGAAATATAGTTGATGTGAGACATGTGATGTGTGAATAAATATAATATTCAAGTGAAACTCTGCTGTGTATTTCCTCTCCTCAGTAACCTGAGGGTGTGCTCGTGTCAGTTAACAATTAGTTCTTATTTATTTATTACATATACAGTGTTCTGCCTACATGCCAGAAGAGGGCACCAGATTGAATTATAGATGGTTGTGAGCCACCATGTAGTTGCTGGGAATTGAACTCAGGACCTCTGGAAGTGCATATAGTACTCTTAACCTCCGAGCCATCTCTCCAGCCCCAACAATTAGTTCTTATAAGTTGTTGTCAGTACTCCTGGTATTTTCCTGTAAATAAACAACAATACTGGGGATGGGGCAATTTGAGTCCTGAATAGGCATGTGCAGCCCTGGCCTCCTTGAATGAAAGAACTGTCAGTCAGTCAGGCAGTGGCGGTTTAAGTCTTTAATTCCAGCACTTGGGAGGCAGAGGCAAGCTGATCTCTTTGAGTTTGTACAGAGCTAGTTCCAGGACAGCCAGCACTGTTACACAGAGAAATCCTGTTTCGAAACCTCCCCCAAAGAAACCTACATAATGATGGTGTGTGTGTGTGTGTGTGTAGTGTGTGATGACTGGGGGGAGGGAGCATGTGCCATCACATGTGAAGGACTGAAGACAATCTGCCATTTATTCTCTCTTTTCATAAAGTGGACCCTGGGATTCAACTCAGGTCATTAAGCTTGTCTGCAAGCACCATTACTCTAGTAAGCCATCTTGCTGTCCCATTGGTGGCTGCTGATTGTTCCTATGCCTGAAGGAACAGCTTTAGCAAGAATGTTTCAAAAGGGACTGGACCTTTTGTTACCAGTAATTTATTTGAACTCTAGGTGACCCTGCAACTATTTCCACTGAGGCCTGACATACTTCCTTAGTAACCTACCAAAAGGACTGCTGGTACAGCTAAACAGGCAATGCAGTGATTGGGGCAAATATTAAACCTCATTTGCATGTCAGGTTTGCTGTGATTGGTGGAAATCCCATTTCCTTGGCTATTCAAGCCAGCTGTTTGGCTCACTTAATGAGACCTCATTCCATGGGTGATCTTTTCATTTTTCTGTCTGTTTTGTTTTAGTGACATTTTTATTTTACATGAATGAATGCTTGGCTCCATATATGCATGCAGTGCCCCCAGGGGCATGAAGGGGGCGTTCTTCAGCAAATGCAGCCTGCAAATTGGACATGATTTATCAAAGCTTTGGATACATAATGTCAAACGGGAGTATAGAAAGGAACTAGTCATTCATTCCCTCTCTTTCCCCTTTGCTTTGTTCTGTTTTGTTTTTGAGACAGGGTCTTACTTTGCCATGGCTTGCCTTGAGCTCTCAGAGATCCACCTGCCTCTGCACACTGGGCTTTTTTTCTTTTTGACAAACTTTTTTTGAGGTAGGGTGTCATGTCACCCAGTTTGGCATCAAACTTAATAAGAAGCCAAAGATGACCTTGAGTGTTGGGGTAACACACCTGACTTCTCTGGTTTGGGGATGGAACCCAGGGCTTCATGAATGCTTGGTAAGCAGTCTACCAAGTGAGCTGCATTGCCAGCTCCTGATTGTTTTCTTGAGCAACTCCATAGCCCTTGTTTTCATGTTACTTTGGTTTAGTTCACCAGGCAATCATTGAGCACCTGCTGTATGGAGAGACTGGAAACAGCTGTACCAGCAGGAGGAAGCTCTGCATCAGGTAAGACACCTGGTAGCTGAACCCTGGGCGTGTGCAGATTTGCCAAGGGAGGGCAAGCAGCAACCTGGCTTAAAGGTCATGGTAGATAAGGAGAACAGGTTCTCGGGGCTTCCTGCCTATGTGGGCAAGGAGTAGGCTTAGGAAAGTGACAGCAGAGAAACCAGTTAGTGAGAAACCAGGCGAGTAGAGGACACTGTTGACAGGCAGAGACAGCAGCTCAGGAAGGGCTGGCTCTGAGACACTGGTGACAGGCGGAAACAGCTAGAACTTTCTGGAAATTTCCATCCAAGAAAACGAGCTTTGGGGGGTGCCCACACACAGGAGTTTTGGGATCCAGAAAGTTCCAGCAACTTGCATGAGTTTCAGACATTTATTTGAAAAAGGAGATCACAAAATCCACCTCAGAGGGTTGTGAGAGGAAACTGAAATCAACCATGTAAACACATGAAGCACACTGCTTAGTAAACATCACCTGGTGTCACTATCGAGAAAAGCCGCACAGGGCTAGGCTATATCACTGCTATTATTGAGAAGCAAGTTCATTCTAGGAGCTTAAGTGCCGGTACCCACACTTCATCATTTGGGGGAGGAACTGGGCAGGGGTTACATACTGGTTCACACATGGGGCTGTGCACTGGTTCTGGGCAGAACCTCCATAAAGTACAGGAAATTAAAGTGTGAGATTCTGAGCCAGAAGGTGTCTACACTCAGCATTGTATGTGGCACCTGTATTGGCAGATATGTTTATGAATGAAGAAAGCATGTTGGAGACACTGAAGGTCCATAGCCAGCCTTGACCAAAAAAATTAACATTTTACAGTAGGAAGGGGATGTGGTGACTTTGGAACTATTAAAGCCAGGCACAGTTGGATCCAGGGTGAAGACATACACATAGCAACCTTTTCTTGTCTTTTGAGCTGAAACAGAGGCATCCCACCCCACGAGGTTCCCACCCTTTGTACATACACCACGTCCAGAGAAAGGCTTCCCTTTCAAGCCATCTGGACCTGAGTCTTGAACTGACCCTGAGTTACTTTCTGTACCTGCTCAGCTCCCTGGCCAGGAGTAATATTCCAAAAGAATACAGTTTTTTTTTCCTGACAGAGGGTGAGTGGTTGTTAGGCAGGCACAACTCACTGCTGCCCACTGGGGTGTCTGCAGGAGAGACTTCTTGCAGGTGACCTAGAAGTCACCTGGTGACATTCTGGAGCAATGCTCGGTCCAGGCACACTTGGGACCATGTAGAATTTTTAAATTTTGTTTTGTCATTGTTTTGAATATTTTGACGTGTGTGTGTGTGTGTGTGTGTGTGTGTGTGTGTGTGTGTGTGTGTGTACTAATGGTCTGTGTGTACACGTGGAGGTCAGAAGACAAGTTTTAGGAGTCAGTTGTCTCCCTTCCATCATGTGGATCTCAGGGATCAAATTCAGATCCTCAGCCTTGGCAACAAGCACCTTTACCCACTAAGCCACCTTCCTGAGCTTGTTGTTTTGGGCTAGGGTCTCATATGTAGCCTAGGCTCGCCTCAAATTTATCATGTAGCCAAGAATAACCTCAAAATTCCTGCTTCAAAAAAAATTCCTGCCTCTACCTCTGAGGGTCAGGATCACTGGTGTGCATCAACACACCTGGCTATCACATAAGACCTTAAGGGGTTTGGAATCTGCTTGGTCAAGGGACCACATAGTAGATTTCAAAAATATTCTGATTCTCCCATATCCCTGAGTTCACACCCCATGCAATGTGACTATTGCAGCATCTGCCTGCCTGAGCTCAAGGCCAGTCTGAGCTACCCTGCCTCAAAATATAAATTAAGATAAACAGTTTGTTTTTCGCCCTCTCCAATCTGAGTTGCTCTTGTCCATGACATCCACAATGAACATGATAGACAAGCTGATGTGCCAGTTCTGAGGCAACCTCAAGAGGCTTGTGTGCATTGCCTTATTGATGAGACAAGGTCTTATATCACTCAGGCTGGCCCCAATGAACTCAGATCCTCCTGCCTCCACCCCCTCAGTGCTGGGATTACAGGCATGCACCACTAAACCCCATTTATGCAGTGCCAGGAATCGAACCCAGGGCTTGAAGCATGCTAGGCAGGCACTCTACCCACTGAGCTATATAGCCCCAGCCCTGACTTTCTAGGCTTTTGCTTATTTGTTCTCTTGAACTCGTGCCTCACTTATGAAAGTGATCCCAGGTTTTGGGCAGAGGATGAGCCACCACTTGAGGCTGTCCTTGCCTTTTCTCTGTCAAAGCTCCACGTGTGGGAGAGACCCCTGCACTGCTGGCAAAGTCACTTACCTGGTTCACACCAATTGCAGAGGTGTGAGTGTGTCCACTGAGCCTGGCTTAGATCATCACGGCCCAAGTGACCCAAACCTTGAGCACCAAGTGGTTGTCGTTTTAAACCATTGTGAGTTAAGGTCTTTCATTCCAACTACTTGGGGCCTGAGGCAGGGGGATCCCAGGTTCTAGGCCTACTTGAAGTATAAATGAAAGAATTCAGGACCAGCCTGGGTAACTTAGCAAGACTCTGTTTCAACATTTAAAATTTGAAAGAGGGTGGGGATAGAGGTTAATGGTAGAATACTTGCCTAAAATCCACCAATAAGGGGCTGGGGCTTGGCCCAGCAACAGGGTGCTTACCCAGAATCCCCCAGTGACAGTTCCATCCCCAGAATACACATGATGAAATAAGAGAACTAACTTCCTCAGGTTACGCTCTGACCTCCACATGCCTCCATAGTGGACACTTCCTAATAAATAAATAATTGGATGGAAAAAATTCAAATAGAATCCCTTAATTAGGAAGGAGCTGGGGGAGGGGAGGGCTCAGCAGCAGAGCACCTGCCTATCACGTCCTGCACTTTGGGAAAATGTAGAGGAAAACAAGTTTAAGGCCAGTTTGTTACACAGCATTGTTGTAGCAAATTGATAACAGATACAAGGCATGTTGAAGAGAAACCCTAGTGCTTGGCTTGTCAAACTGCCGGCCCAGTGGCTGGATCTTCAGACAAGGGACATGTGCTTCTAACTTCAGGAAAGTGCTACTGAGTTCTACCTGGGTCTGGAGATCTTGCCTGGTGTTGTCTGTAATCTGTGGATCTCATGGAGATTTTAATTTATTTAAAAATTTTCCCTTTTGCCATTCTGGAGATTGAACATTGGAGTCTCATGCATTCTCCATAAGCACTCTGCCACTAACTGTATCTCTAGCCTCCTCTCCCTCCTGTTTAGTTTTTATTTCAAGGACAGTATCTTGCTAAACTCAGGCAGGCCTTGAACTTTTTTTTTTTAACTTTTTAAAAAAGATTATTTATTTATTAAGTAGACAGTATTTTGCCTGCATGTATGCCTGCAGGCCAGAAGAGGGCACCAGATCTCATTATGGATGGTTGTGAGTCACCATGTGGTTGCTGGGAATTGAACTCAGAACCTCTGGAAGAGCAGTCAATGCTCTTAACCTCTGAGCCATCTCTTCAGTCTGGCCTTACACTTTCTATCCCCCACTTAGTCTTCTGAACAAACTGAGACTATGGCTACCTCTCCTCTTCCTCCTCCTACTTTCAAGACTCCGTTTCTCTATGTAGCCCTGGCTGTCCTGGAACTTGTTCTGTAAACCACACTGGCCTTGAACTCAGAGATCTGCTTCCTTCGACCTCCTGAGTGCTGGGACTAAAGACGTGCACCACCACACCCAGCATAAATTGTGCTTTCTAATCCTGGCTCCATCAGAGATTTTTTAAAATGTATTATACATTATTTGTGCATATATGCCTGTGTGTACATGCAAAGAGACCAGAGGACAAGTTGTTCTTTCTTTCTACCCCATATACATACTGGAGATTTGAACTCAAGTTGTCAGGTTTAGTGGCAAACACCTTTCCCACTGAGCCATCTCTCCTGGCTGACAACATGGATCAAAACTTTCAAGTTCAGGGTTGTTTATTTAATTTTATGTGTATAGATGTTTTACCTATGTGAATGTATGTGCATGCTTGGTGCCTGGAGAGGTCAGAAAAATGGCATCAGAAGATTATTCCCCCAACAAAACAAAACAAAACAAAACAGAAATCCCTGGAGTTTGTAAGATGCCATCGGGTGATGAGGTTGGAAACCCCATCATCTGCATGAGCAACAAGTGATCTAAGCTGAGCCAGCTCTCCAGTGTCCCCCCCACCCACAAGGATAGTTCCTGAAAACAAATGATTTTGTAAGTGTGTGGGTGTTTTCTCTGCTTATATGTCCATGCACTGCATGTGTGCAGTGCCTGCGGGAGTCCAGGAGAGGGAGTCAGATCGCACGGAACCAGAGTTTCATGCAGTTGGCTGTGTGCCTCCAGGTGAGTGCTGGGAATTGAATCTAGGTCCTCAGGAAGAGTAGTCAGTGCCTGAACCACCAAGCCACTCTCCAGTGGCCCAACAAGGGTTATTCACACCCTTTTCCAAGGACACAAGTACCAGGCTCTGTGTACAAGTTTTGTGGCTAGAGAGAAGTGTGTGCTGACTAGTCCGGTTCCTCCTTGATGCATACATCTTGCTTGTAGGGGATGGATGGTCATGAGAAAGGAACAAGGAGAGAACACGCACTCAGAGTCAAGGACTATGGAAGGCTCTCAAGAACCAAATGTGGGCTGGGGATATGCTCAGTGGATAGAGTGCTTGCCTATCGTGTTAAGCCCTGGGTCCCACCCCCAGCACTGTATAAACCAGCTGGAGTGGTGCATGCCTGCAATCCCAGCACTGAGGAGGTGGAGGCAGGAGGATCAGTTCAAGCTCATCTTCTACACAGAGTCTGAGAGTAGCCTGGTCTACACAGTATTCTGTCTCAGAGAAAAGAAAAACAAAAGGTGCCAAGTCCTACCTGTTGGGTGTTTGATTTTCATAGGAGAAACAAAAATCTGAGGATCTGGAGAGATGGCCCAGCAGTTAGGAGCACCCAGCTTACACCCACCTGCAACTCCAGCTACCGGACATCTGATCCCCTCTTCTGGCCTTGGAAGACACCAAACTCACATGGACAAACCCACACATGGATGTACGCATACACATACATATAATTAATTTTTTAAATCCAAGATAAAATAAAACAAAATAAAAACAGAGAAGAAAAAAATCAAAGATACAGAATGAAAGCCATTCATGTGTTTCCTGGAAAAAGTCAACTGAGGTGGTGGGTAGCTCATGAGGGGTTGGTAGCTCATGCCTGATAGTCTTAGTAGGCAGGAGGCTGAAGCAGGGGACTGCCACAAATTTGAGGCTTGCCTCGGCTACAGAGACTGTGTCTCAATAAAATAATGATATAAATTAAAATAAAGGCAAACTGAGCTTTGTGGGACATGCCTATAACCTCAGCAACTGGGAGTAAAGGCAAGAGGATTCAGAGTTCAAGGCCAGCTTGGGCTACATGAGACACCATCTCTACATAGATAGGTAGATGGACAGATAGATAGATAGATAGATAGATAGATAGATAGATAATGAGGGCTGGAGGTGTCGCATGGGGGTAGAACCTAGTGCTCACAGGGCCTGGGATTTGAATCCCAGCAATATAAAATAGATTTAATTTAAAAATTTGAAGAAGGGCCCTGGTAAAGGCACATGCAGCCAGGCCTGCAAGCTGTCCTCTGACTTCCACGCTGTGGCACACACTTAAGGGAACATGCACAGAGTAAGTACATTTAGAAGAGAGAAGGACCCAAAGAGAAACAAAAGCAAGAGAGAGATGTCTGTTGCATCTTATTGTAGGAGTCTGGGGCCCAGAACACAGAAAACAGGTAATGGGAATTCTGTTCATTATCGCACCCACCACAGACTCCAGGCAACACATCTCTATCCCAGATTTACACAGTGCAGCCTGTATGTATGTCCCAGATTGTGTCATCTGACCCTGAGCCTGCCCTACTCACACAACCTGTTGCAAGGACTGCCATCACTATCCAGGTGAAAAGCTCTGCAGCTGGCCACTAAACTGGTGTAACTACCCCATCTAGCCATTTCCACATCCTCTCTGCCCTAATCTCCAGGGTTTCCATTTTACTCCCAACTGCTCCACCTGGAATCTGACCACTTCTAAGTAAGATCTGAACCAGTATGATTGAAACTTCAATTCTCAGGGCCATCAAGGCGGCTCAGCATGTAAGGCTGCTTGCTGCCAAACCTGATGATGACCTGAGTTCAATATCCAGGACCCACATGGTGGAAGGAGAGAGCCAAATCGGGCAAGTTGCCGGCTGACCTCCACCTACTCTGTACACACCCCTCCCACTAAAACATTACACAAAGTTAAAACCCCATAGCTCTCAATTTTGACTGTGTCATGAGGTACAGGCCTGCCATTCTAGACATTTTGGAGGCTAATGTAGAAGACTTAAAAGTTCAAGGCCTACTTGAGCTATAGAATGAGGTCAAGGTCAGACTGGGCAACTAAAATGTGTCCTAAAAGTACAGAGAGTGCTGGGAAAGTGCTGGCCCCTGGTTCATTCCCTTAGTAATATAATTCCAGCACTGGGGAGGCCTAGGCAGGAGTACAGTGGTGAGCTGGAGGTCAGCCTGAGCTACATAGTGAATTGGAAGGCCAGTCTGTAAAATAATGAATCCGTGTGTGTGTGTGTGTGTGTGTGTGTGTGTGTGTGTGTGTGTGAGAGAGAGAGAGAGAGAGAGAGAGAGAGAGAGAGAGAGAGAATGAATAAGAATATGGAACATGGTAGCACATGCCTATAATCCAAACACTTGGGAGGTAGAGGCAGGATCATCAGAAGTTCAAGGTTACGCTTGACTACGTAGTGAGTTTGAGGCCAGTCTGAGCTACAGGAGATCCTGTCTCTCAAAATTAAAATAAAATAAAGCCATAAAAGAAAATAAAGCATAGATTCAGTGGCCTAATAACAGTGGTTCTCCTCTCCCTCCAGTCTGCTGTCTAGTACCCCAATCTGTTCTCTCTCCTGCCCCATCCTGCCACACAAACACATGCAGCCTCTACAACCCCATTTCACAGTCTTCATCTTGTCTGGTCTCCTTCCTCCAGAAGCCATGGAGGGCGGGTTACCTTCAGGCTTTGTGGTACTGGCTTAATGGATTCATCCCCCAGTGTTCATCTCTGGTCTGGAGCCCACTCCAGCAGACTCAGAAAGTAACTCTGTACATCCCTAGTAGTGTGCTCCCACCAAGCCAAGACAACTGCTCCAGGTCACTGGCCACTTGGCAATCCACCTTCAGGTGGGACATCCCCTGACACACAGCAGCATTTTATTCACTATTGTGGGCATCGAGGCAGGGTGTGGCCATGGGAAGCCAGGCAGGCTGTCTGGGAGACGGAGGAGGATGGGCAGAAGAGGGCCAGGCGGAGCTCAGCAGCTGAGGTAGCCGGAGATACGTGGCTGCGGACCCCACCGCACCCAAGCCCTTCCTGCAGCCGAGCTGCATGATCAAGTACCCTGAAACCTGTGGCATCCCTCGGGGGTTGCAGCCTCCAGCATCAGCCTCCCTGCTCAGACTGCAGAAGATGCTTGGTGGCGGCTATCACCAGGCCAGGGGTGAAACCATCCCGGAGCTGCGCGGGCCATCCCCTGCCTGCAAGTCGCTGAGCGCTCTCTGGGGATGGGGATGAATGGTCAGTGGTCCCAGCATTGACACCCTTCCTGCCTCTTCCTGGCACTCAGATGGCTGGTGCTGAGGTTGTGGCCCCATCCCACCAGAGACTGGATATGCCACTCACGGACACCCTTTCCCAGAGGGATTTGGGGCGGATGCTCTCATAGCCCCACCTCCCTTCAAGGGCCCCTACAGCCTCCACCCCGGCTCACCTCAAATTTGCTCATGAATTCTGCAAAGATTCCAAAGAAGGCCTCTGAGGTAGTGGCCTTCGAGTCCTCTCCAAAGAAGGCCAGAGCCTTCCCTAGCTCTTCCATGGCTTCCCGCTGCAGCCCGTCCAGCGCCCGCAGAGCTGGTTGTGCCGTTTCCAGAAAGGACTATGGGCCTTGGTTAAGGAAGCAGCCACTGGGTGCCCTACCTCCTCGGCTGGAATGTGACCCCGCACAGCCCTAACTGCTCCACTCCCTCTCTGCCCCACCCCCACCCAGTCCTGCACAGACAGGCTCCCGGTCACCAGCTCCTAACCTCATGCATAATTAATTTACAGTATGTACAGCCTTAGACAGCCTTCGCTCTCTCCGCAAGAGGGTGCTATCGTCTTGGGGAATTCTGCTTAGTGTCTTCTTAACCCTTGTTTGTTCGTTTTGTTATTATTTGTTTGTTTTATTTTTAGATAGGATCTCATTATGTAGCCCAGGCTGGCCCTAACTCCAGCTCCTTCTGCCTGAGCATCCTGAGAGCTGGGATTCCAGGTTTGAGCCCCAGTGTGCTGGGTTCGCGGCCCACTTGTCAGACCACTCACTTTGGACCGACCCTGTGTGCCTGACACTTGGTTTGTGTGTTTGAGACAGGCTCTCTTGTAATCCAGGCCGGCTGGGAATTAGCCAAAAAGCTGAGGATAACTTTGTAAGTCCTGATCCTCCTGCCTCTACCTCTGAGTACGTGTGTGCAGTACCACAGCAGGCCATTTTTTTCTTTTTACCCTCTTTTTTTTCCTTCCTCCTTTCCTTCCTCTTTTTGCTTTATTTCTTCACACAGTTCGAATGCCCACTGTTTCTGTCCTCCAAGGGTAGGTTTATTCCCTCTATGGACCTCCACAATTTAAGACAGTATCTGGTACACTGTAAGAAGGTCCTGGGGAAAGACTCAAAGTGTACAGCTCGGTTATTTAGTGTGCAAGAGGCTCTGGACTCAATCCCCCGTCACCTTTCTCATCCGGCTTTTGGCTTACAGGGCCTGGCTGGCCAAGCTTCTCTTTGTCTCTCGTGATTTAAATCTGGATCCCACCATCCTTGAGGATGCATAGTCAACATGTCAAAGACTTAGGGAACTATGGGTCGGCCTGGTGACAGAGACCTGTCTCCCTAGATACTTGGGAGGTCGAGGCCAGAGAACTGTAAGTCCAAGGCTTGCCTGGGCTATAAAGTGAGTCTGAGGCCAGCCCAGACAACCTAGAGAGAGTCAGTCTCAAAAAGTAAAGAGGGGCAGACTGGATCTATAGTTCAGTGGTAGAGTTTTTGCCTAGCTATGTCCATTGTCCTGCTTTCAATTTCCAGCACAGGAAAAAGAAAAGCAGGTAAATGAAAAAAAAAAAAAGAGTGGTGTAGATGTAGCTCAGTGGTAGAGCCTCTGCCTAGAATCCCACAGGAAGGGGCTGAGGACAAGGCTTGGCAGTAGCATACTTGTTGGAAATCCTCCAGTGTTGGGCTGGCAGTGTGGCTGTATCCGAGACCTTGGGCCTTGGATTCAATCCCCAGTAACTCTCTCTCTCTCTCTCTCTTTCTCTCTCTCTCTCTCTCTCTCACACACACACACACACACACACTCTCTCTCTCTCTCCCTCCCTCCCTCCCTCCTCTCTCTCTGTCATACACACACACACACACACACCCTCTCGAAGGATCCCTGGGCCCACACAGCCTCTGCCTGGAATTTCTGCAAGAGTCCACAATGACCACTAGAGCCGCAGTCAGCTTTATCTAACCTTCCCAGAGTCCAGTCTGGTGCTGGAATGGGCGATTAGAGGATACTGTCATGACCACAGCAAACCTGTCCTCACTGGAGGGGGACATGCTCTGGCAGGCCACCTGAATCTCACTGACAGTGCCATGGAGGTCTGCCAGGTCACCAGTCAGGGCTCGTTGGTTCACTGCAAGTAAGGAAAGGAGCAAAGTCTTATGGGGGTTGCATCCCTAGTTCAGGGCAGCATGTGCTTGCCTCCCTCACCCATGAACACAGCCTACCTTTGGCAGCCAGGGGTACAGTGGGCAGATCCTGGGCAAAGCCCAGGAGCTCAGGGAAGTGCTGACTTAGTGATTTGGCAAGGATGTGCAGAAAGGTGGACTTCCCGTCCACTGTCTTGGTGGAGTTTAGCTGCAAGGGATGCCCAACACAAATGCTCCTCAAAGACCCGCCCACCATGACACCAGGTTTTTCTGTGTTCTTAGAATTCTTAGTCTTTGATACTCCTCCCAACTCCCCTCCCAAGTTTACTTTTCTAGATCCTGGAGCTGAGCTAGAGAAGCCACCTTCCATACTCCCGCCCTTTGCTTGAGTCACATCTGGGCCTATGTTCAGTAAGCCCAGGCTCCCTCCCACCCCTCACCCCCCCCCCCCACCTCCACCCGGGGGAAGAACTTCCTGGGCATAATGTTTTCTTCTTCCCTGTTAGAACACCTTTGTTGTTTGAGCCAGGTTCTTCTTTAGCCTAGGTTAGACTCAAGCTCCTGATCCTTCTAAATTCTGGGATTACAGACATATGCTACCAAATTGGCTCCATAGCCACAACTCAGCTCAGGCTTGACCTCCAAGTCTGATGGCTGGACCAAGTGACTGCTGGTCCTCACCTCTGTCAAGAAGTTGATCTTGAAGCCGGTAGTCTTGTTGGTCTTGGGCTGTCCATCGTTGAGATAGTTACCCATGGCCAGCACAAACTGTAGGGGGGAAAAGCAGACGTGATGGGGTCTGTATGCTCACCCCACCCCTAACCCCATGTGTAGCTTTTGGTTTCCAGGCTGGGAGCCCCAGGAGACTGAAGATCAGATTAAACACTCAGGTATGGGAAGTGGCCTGACCTCCAGGATCTTGGCCAGTTTCCGGCTGTTTTTGAGCTCCAGGGATGCTTGTCGCAGGCACTCGAGGCTGCCTCGTATCTCCTCTGTCTTCTCCTGTAAGGTGGCCTGGAAGTGTAGACTGCGCAGGCGAGTCTTGTATTCGGGAACTGACAGCATCTGCAGGAAGGTCAGGGGCTAGGATTCATCCATCCCCAGACAGTACCTACTGCCCAGCCTGGGGAGGGAGTCCTCTGACTACTAAGCTGGAAAACTTAGCACAACTCCTAGGGGATGTTCTCATTTCAATCTGCCTTGACCTCGGGTGGGAACGGGCCATCAAAGGAGTTAACTTGGGACTCAGAGCCGAGCGGTGGTGATGCTCGCCTTTAATCCCAGCACTTTGGAGGCAGGGGCAAGCGGATCTCTTTGAGTGCAAGGCCAGTCTGGTCTACAAAGCTACACAGAGAAACCTTGTCTCGAAAAACAAACGAACAAACAAGCAAATAAATAAATAAATAATGGGACTCAGTGGTCGGGGCATTCTTCACGGGACTTGGGACAGAAGCCAACTCCCGACTACGGAGGGAGCCCAGGGGAAGGCTCCCATAGCTATGGCGGGGTGCGGGTCTGGGTCCGGGTCCGGTCTTAGCACCTGCAGGACAAACTGGTCCGGCTCACTGAGGCGGCCCGGAGCCTCGCGGAAAGCCTGATAGCGCTGCTCCTCGTCGGCGTCGGGAGCGAAAAGCAGCAGCTGCGCCAGATGCGCCGGCTCCAAGCGCCTTGGCTCCATGCTCATGAGCACCTGCCGCAGCTCGCCAGGGGTCAACTTCAAATGAGCTAGGAGGATGGCTGCGGGCGGGGCACCAGGGTGAGCGGGGGCGGGGCCCGGAAAGAGGGCGGAGCCCAAAGGTGTAAGGCCTCAGGGAAGAGTGGGGGAGCTTGATGATTGGGAGCGTAGTGAGGCAGGGCCTGAGAGAACTGCCTAGTGGAGAAGGGAGTGGCATGGGCGTAGCCAGAGACTAGGAGTCTGGAAAACTGAAAAGGGGCGAGATCCCCAAATATGATTAATTACCAGGGAGGTGGGCGGACCTGTGGGAGGGACGGGGAAAACTAGGGAGGAACGAAGAAGATAAAGTGATTGGAGGAGGGGCCAGAACCAAGGCGTGGCCAATAGAGGGTTCCTAAGTCGTACACCTAGTCTAGATGGGGGATCCTGCTACTCTTAGGGGTGGCCTATTTAGCCGAGTGACAGGTCCCAACCCCCACATCGGAATTTCGATCACCCCACCCCTTTGCGGGTCTCAGCTTTTGTGGCCCGGAGGACGGGCCCCTAAGGCTTCTCACAGGTATTGTAGGCCTTCTTGTGGGACAAGATCTCCACCACTTCCTTCTTCCTGAAGGGCTCGGGGCCGGGCACTGGCTCTGGAAGGGAAACTGGACAGTTTAATGGGGGACGGGAGGCTAGGCTAGGGCTGCTGTGGCAGGGCCAAGGGAGAAATGTGGCCACAATCAGTGGTCAGAGACCCTCTTCCCAGCAGCTCCAGGCTTCCACACTCTCCTCAATTCCTCAGCCTTCGGACCCCACCCCCCTCCCGCCCATGGTCCAGCCTAAGGCATTTAGGCATTAGATGTGGCTTGTCTGACCCCACACTGCAGTCTCCTCATCTGCCCCTTTCCCTGCACCCTTCACACGGAATGAAGAATGAAAGCCAGCCACTTTCTGACTTCGTGATGTGTACAAGAACTGACTACAGACACTTGGAGTCACACTCAACCAATGCAAGGAGATACCTAGAAAGGACTGGGAGAGAGGGAGCCTGACAAGGATATTCACAGATGCCTTCTGCTCAACCTATCCTGGTTTTGTGATTTTCTGCAAACTACCCAGCCTCTCTGGGCTTCCTCATTAAGAAGTGAAAGTGTTTGCAGGATCTGGCTTGCAGGACTGTTAAGACATTCAAGCATGCAGAAGGACTTGAAAGTTTGAAGACACAATAGCAGTAAGTGCATGCTCTGGGGACTGGGAGCCAGAGAATGCCCAGAAGACAGCAGGCAGTGTGGCTTGGTTACATGGCCCAGGGCAGTCAGGCCACTCACTCGAAGGTTTCTGGGTGCCGAAGTGGAGCTCCAGGTCCAGGTATTTCACCATGTCGCTCAGCTTATCATAGTCAGAGTCCTCCCCAAGCTGCAAGGGATCATGGGAAGTTCAGAGCAGGGAAAGCCCAGGCAGCTAGCCTGCCCTTGTCCTCTGAAATCCATCCTGGGTTCTCCCAAAGAGACAGGACACAGGAGGTTCAAGAGGAAGGCAAGAGCAAGAGGAGGCTGCAAGAAACACTAAATAGAAGCTGGGTGTGGTGGCGCATGCCTTTAGCCCCAGTACTCCAGAGGCAGAGGTCTCTGTGTTTCAAGCCAGCCTGACCTTGTCTCAAAAATGAATGAATGAATGAATAAAGGAAGGAAGGAAGGAAGAGAGAAAGAAAGAAAGAAAGAAAAAATTAGCTGGGTGGTGGCGGCACACACCTTTAATCCCAGGACTCAGGAGGCAGTGGTAGGGGGACCTCTATGAGTTTGAGACCAGCCTGGTCTACAAAGCAAGTTTCAGGACCACCAGGACTACACAGAGGGACCCTGTCTTGAACCTCCCCCAAAAGAAAGAAATGCTATAAACAGGGGCTGCAGAGATGGCACAGCAGTTAAGAGCACTTGCTGCTTTTGCAGAGGACCTGAGTTTGGTTCCCAACATCAGACAGCTCATAACTACTCCAGTGCCAGGCTACCTGATGCCCTCTTCTGGCACCTGCACTCATATGCACATACCCACATGCACACATGTAATTTTTTTAAAAAGAAAGAAATTCTGCATAATCCAAGTTATAAGCTAAGAAACTGACTGTCCTTCTGACCAATAAGGCAGACATTCTTGGTACTGCATTCGCAAAGAAGGGGGCTGGAACAAGAGAGATGAAGAACCTGGTGACAATCAAGAGGACTAAAGAGACCTGAGGGATTTGTCCTGTTTTAAAGTCTCCTTTTGTGTGTGTCTGGTCTCTGTGCACATACGTGTTCATGTGTGTGGAACCCAGTGGTAGACTTCAGGTGTCTTTATCCTGCTCCGCCTTTTCCCCCTTTTCTTCTTTTGGTTTTTCGAGGCAGGGTTTCTCTCTGTAGCCCTGGTTGTCCTGGGACTCACTCTGTAGATCAGGCTGACCTCGAATTCACAGAGATCTGCCTGCCTCTGCCTCAGGAGTGCTGGGACTAATGCACCACCACTTTCCAGTCACCTCTTTTCTTTTTTTCACATGAGTACTAGGGATCTGAATGCAGGTCCTCACACTTGAGCAGTTAAGTGCTCTTACCTACTAAGCTATCTTTAGCTTCATCTATACCAGTTTTTTTGAGATCATCTCATCACTAAACTCAGAACTCTACTGATTGGCTAAGTTAGTTGGCCAATGAGCTTCAGGGATCTGTTGGTCTCCACCCTCCTCAGCCCTGGGCATTCAGACATACACCACTATGTCCAGATTTCCACAGGGGTGCTGGGGTCCAAACTCAGGTCCTGATGCTTGCACAGCAGGCACTACCTACTGAGCCATCTCCCAGCACTCTCCTGCCTTCTTTTTGAGATAAAGACTTGCTATGTAGGCCAGAAAGACCTGGAATTCATAATCTTCCATCCTCCGCCTGCTGAGTGCTGGGATGACCGGCCTGTGCCACCACACCCTGCTTGAGGATCTCCTTTGCAGGGGATGCGCTCGTCCCAGAGCTGCCCGAGACAGGACGAGCTAGTGCTAGGGCAACCAAAGCTGTGACAGGCCAGGGGTTGGAAAATGGACCAAAGGGCCGAGGCAGTTTGTGCCGGAGGTGACCGCCTGCGATGGGTGAGGGTGAGGGCGACTGCTGAGGGAAAGATCCTAAAGCAAGAAAGACAAGAAGAGAAATAGTCTCAGAACGAGACTGCTGGGCAAGAATGCCTGGCAGGGTGGGTGGTCAGGTGTGTTCAGCCTTGGTGACCAGGAGAATGACACTGGGGAGCAAGTTTGTGAAATATGGTCTCCAGGAACCCAAGATGAGAAACTTCCCTTCTCTGGGACATGCAGCCCAGGCTGGCCTCAAACTCACTATATAGACAAGGGTGACCTTGAACTGCTCCTCCTGCCTCAACCCTCCCAAGTGTTGGGATTACAGGTGTGCAGCATGATACCTGACCCATGTGCTTGGAGTCTCGATCCAGCCTCCTAAGTGCTGGAATGACAGGCAGGAACACTGTGCCCAGCTTCCCCTGGCCATGTTTAAAGGAGCAGATGAGCTGGGTGTAGTGGCTCATTCCTCTAATGCCAGCACTTTGGTGGCTCTGAGGCAGGAGGACTGCCATGAGTAAAAAGCTAGAATCTAAGAGAACTAGTTCAGCCTCAAGAGTGATGGTTTTTTGCAGGAGGTAAGAACTCCCCACTATGCTTCTGGCTTGGGGACACATTTGTCTTTGGAAAGACTGTCAGTTCTCCTCTGCTCAGGGTGAGAAGGTCCAAGGAATATTTTAGTTGATGTTAGAAGAGGCCAGGAACTGGTGAGACGGCTCGGGTGCTTTCACCAGTTTGATGGCCTGGAATAAAGCCTGAGCGCTATGTGATGGAAAGAGAGCTGACTCCTACACGTTGCCCTCCACACCCGAGCCCCTCCCCCACACAAAATAATTTAACAGATGCAATTTTAAAAAGCAGCTGAAGGAGAGGACTAGGCAGTTGGCTGGGAGATGGGTCTTGCCTTCAGTGTTACTGTCCAGACCGCTCAGCCAGTTGAGAGAGCCATGGGTCCCCAGGTCACCTACCTGGCCCCAGATAGTGCCTTCTGAGTTCTCCACCTGTTCCCAGCGCAAGCGCTTGACACTCATGTGGCTGGTCTCGCTTCGGCGGTGGCCCATGCCCCGGGATAGCATGGGGGGGTGCGCATGGCACGGGTGGGGGCAGGGGTGGCGGAGGCGGGGGTGGGACTGGGTGGCTAAGTTGGTTGAGGGGTTTGGTCAATGACTGAGGAGGACCTCGGGGACCATCGGGGGTGCGAGAGCTGGGTTTGGAGTCGTGGAAAGGCAGGGGCGGGGGCGGTGGTGGGCTGAGTGGGGGCGGGGGGATGTGGTCGGAGATGGAGGAGTAGGTCAGAGAGCTGCCCTCCTCGCTGCTGCTGACACAGTCGCTAGCGCTGCTTCTCTCATTGGTCACAAAGCTGCCCTGGTCATCATGGAAACTCATCTGTCCAGGGGAGAACAAGGTGAGCGGGAAGTCAGGCTGAGGCGTGCAGACCGGAGAAGTGTGTGTGGGTAAAACGGGAAAGCAGGTGGAGAGTAAGAGGAGCTAGGGGCCAGGGTAGGCAGCCTGCCGCCTTAGCCTGACGTTTGTGAGTGGGATAGCCTGGTGCACGGGACAGATTGAGACAAAGAGTGGGTTAACCTGAGACAAGTATATGGAGGTAGCCTTAGGGAAAGGACAGAATAGTCCTGGGAATGGTACAGAAGTGATTGGTGGGTTTGGCCTGGGGTTGCGAGCTGGGTCTCCTAGGATGAGGAAAGGGGTAACCTGAGACAAAACATATACGATGGCCTCAGGCAGGGGCTGGATAAGTATCAATAGGGGATAACTTGGGATGATGCAGAAATGGAATAGGGTAGCCTAGACAGATTCCAGCGCAGACTGAGGCAGGGGTGGAGCAGTCTGAGGCAGTCTGCAGTGGAACAGCCCCCTGCAGACTCTGGGGGATAGAATACCCTCTATAGACCTCCACCCCTCAACTCTCTCCACCCATTCACATGCCCACCTCCTCATAGTCATTCTCAGGTGTCAGGAAGTCATCCACAATGGTGACCCGGGGACCCAGCTGCTCACTCAGCACATCCAGGAAGCGGTCTGTGTCTCTGCTCCGCACGGGGCGTGAGAAAGCGAAGAGCTTCCTGCGACTGGGTGGCCGGATGGGTTCTGGGCTTGGGGGGCTGTCGGGGCAGATGGATCCAAGGCCTGGCTGTGGGGAGGGTGCCCTGCTGCTGTCCAAGCTGGCGTAGGGGTGGGACTCCGAGCTGCTGGGGGAGGCCAGACCCCCAGAGCACAGCGGGTCATAGCAGGGGGATGGCAGGAGCCGCTCGCTGGGCCACGAGACTCCAGACAGGGTCCTGGGTCCTTCATTGGTGGCAGAAGGAGAGACAGACTATCAGCCAGTACCCAGCATGGGTGAAGAGTGAGTAGCTGTCTGTCCTGAGACATGCTTTCTGTCTCTGGGCTATTGCCTCCCAGGCTGTTCCCCGAGAGTAACCAGACACCACAGCAGGTGGAGCAGAGAACAGCTCTTGACTTCAGTTCCTGCCATACTCTCGCTCACCTCCAACATACCCCAAAGTCTCACCAAGACTGCAGGCAAGGGTCATGAGGTGCCACTCCCACCCAGCAGGCCTCAGATGCACAGTAGGAGCATAGGGGGCCGGAGGATCTACCCCTCCCACTCCTGCCCTTTTTCAGTAGTGGAGATCAAGGCTATGGCCTTGCACACGCCAGGCAAGGACTCTGTCACTCCCCCACACCCATCCACCACAGGTGTGCTCCCCCACACCTGCTCCACCACAGGTGTGCTCCCCACACCCATCACCACAGGTGTGCTCCCCACACCTGCTCCACCACAGGTGTGCTCCCCACACCCATCACCACAGGTGTGCTCCCCACACCCATCACCACAGGTGTGCTCCCCACACCCATCACCACAGGTGTGCTCCCCACACCCATCACCACAGGTGTGCTCCCCACACCCATCACCACAGGTGTGCTCCCCCACACCCATCACCACAGGTATGCTCCCCCACACCTGCTCCACCACAGGTGTGCTCCCCACACCTGCTCCACCACAGGTGTGCTCCCCACACCCATCACCACAGGTGTGCTCCCCACACCTGCTCCACCACAGGTGTGCTCCCCACACCCATCACCACAGGTGTGCTCCCCACACCCATCACCACAGGTGTGCTCTCCCACACTCACACTTATGTGGTGCTGGGAATGGACCCCAGCCAATCAAACACTCTGCCAACTGTACCCCAGGCCCCCACTTTCTTTCTTAAAGTTTTGAGGCCGGGTCTTGACAAGTTGCCCAGCCTAGCTCTGAACTCATTCTGTAGCCCAGGCAGGCCTTAAACTATGATCCTCCTGCCTCAGATTCCCGAGTAGCTAAAACGACAGGACTGTGTTATAGGCACGGTTGGTCTTGCGTAGACTGCACAGAAGCTATCTTCCCAGCTATGCCACTCACGCAGCAACACATGCACTTTATAGTGTATCCAAGAGCCACACGCTAACTTGAGGACTCACATGGCGGAACACTCTGCTTTTCCAGATCACCACATGGGGTGAGGACCACAAGGACAAATGAGGGACTAGGACAAGTCAACCTGATGACCCGCTCACTGCACATGCTCTCTTGGCTTCCCTGGGACCCATCTGCACACCCTCTAGGGGTGTGCCTGGGAGTAGGGATGACAGCCAGTTAGAAGGACAGAAGCCAGTACCCCTTCAGGAGCAGAGATTGACTGAGGCCATACCTGCTGTGCCTACCAGGCTGGGGACTGGCGGAGAGGCCCGGGATTTGGACACAGTCCCTATCTTCCCTTTGAAGCTGCTGTTCAGGCGCGACTCAAGCTCCGCATAGACGGCCGACATCTAGTGGGCAAAGGAGATGAGTCCGACCTCCTCCTACTGCCCCCTTGTGGTCTCAACAGGACCACGCATGGACAGTTTGCCCCAGCCTGAAACAGCAGCTGGGAAACTTTGGCCAGGGGCCTCCACACACTGTCCCCATAGGCCCATGATCATTGACTACAGCTAGAAGGCAGAAAGATCTCACCATTTTGGGGTTGGGGGTCTCCGGAAGGGATGTGCCATCGCCAGCCTGACGCTCGCCTGGGATCAGAGGTAGAGGCATCTCAGGGCAATCACCAGGACCTGCCAGGAAGGAGCCATGGAAACCTCATTTTCCGTTCTGAGCTCTACGGCCCAGTCCAGACCTGTACAGTTAGCACTCATTCTCGCTATCCCTCAGGCTCCTGGTTCCTCATTGTGGTGGTTAATCTTGGTTGTCAGCTCAATTGGAGCTGGAATCAGCTGGGTCACACTTTTGGTGGTCTGTGAAGGTGCTTCCTGGAAGGATTACCCTAGAAACGAAGGCTCTACCCCAGAGTGGGCAGGACCTTCCTGCAGCAGCACAGATAGAAAGAGATCTGATGGGAAAGCAGGACTTTGCCTGCCTGCCTTCCCTCCTTGCTGGCGAGTGCATCTATTGTGCTGCTGCAGCCGTTGCCATGAGAACCCACATTTTTCAGGCTCCCAATGCAGACTGGATCAGAAGCTCTTTGGAACCCTCTGTGCTACTGGATGCCCAGCCTCTCCAGCATGTAGACGGCCATTGCTGGACCACTCAGCCATTATCATGGAAGCCATTCTAATAAATCCCCTTTGTGATTTACATTCATTCTATGGGGTCTGTCCCTTCAGAGAACCTTGACTGATACACCCAGCATTTCACTAACTCTGATTTGCAATAGGGAAGCAGCACCAGCGTTTCTATGTGGGGCTTTACCACAGCTGAGGCTGGCCTCCAGGCCCTGGGAGCGCAGGCTGCGGCGGCACATGGAAGAAGCTCTCTGGGAACTCCGTGGTTGTGGCTCTGGTGTGGGCTCTGGTGTGGACTCTGGTTCCAGGTCTAGTGATGATTCAGGTTCTGTGGTGGGACAGGCAAGGTATGACATGAGGCCGTTGTCCTGTCAGCCTCCACAAGCAAGGGAGGTGAGGGAAGAAGTCACCACCACTGGGGGAGTTGTTGTAGGCAGGTGCTTTACCACTGAGCCTTACCCCAGCCCCTCACTGGGGGATTCTAGGCAGGTGCTCTACCACTGAGCCACACCCCAGCCCCTCACTGGGGGATTCTAGGCAGATGCTGTACCACTGAGCCACACCCCAGCCCCTCACTGGGGGATTCTGGGCAGGTGCTCTACCATTGAGCCACACCCCAGCCCCTCACTGGGGGATTCTGGGCAGGTGCTGTACCACTGAGCCACACCCCAGCCCCTCACTGGGGGATTCTGGGCAGGTGCTGTATCACTGAGCCACATCCTAGCCCCTCACTGGGGATTCTGGGCAAGTGCTCTACCACTGAAATGCATCTATCTCCAGATAGTTAGAGTAATGCTTAAGCATGTGTTCTAAGACCAGAAACCAGAGTACCTAGAGCAAGAAAAGCACCTAAAGGAAGGGAAACACAGTGGAGGCTGATGCTGTTCCCAACAGGGGTCTTCTTAGGATGCTGTGCTTCTAGGTCCCCAAACCCTGTGCTGAAGTTTCGGGTCTGAGCCACCACACCTGGGTAGGGATTCTCAGACAAGGACAGGGCTATAATTCAGTGGGAGAGCACTTGCTTAGCATGAGCAAGGCCCTGGGTTCCATTCCCACTGATGTAAAAAGAAAACGTGGCTGGGGTGGCACTCACTCAAAACCCCATCACATGGGAGATGGAGGCAGGAGAATCAGGAGTTCAAGGCCAGCCCGGACTACACATGAGTTTGAGGTCAGCCTGCCTGTGTGAGACCCTGTTTGAGAGAGGAGAGAGGAGAAAGAGAGGAAGAGGAGGAAAAGGAAAGGATGGAGAAATGAACAGTTTCCTGTTATGCTGTGTTTGCTGCATGAGAGACAACCAGCCAAGCCCACTGTTGAGTATGTATTTGCCAGGACATGTGGGCACATGCATGTGAGGGAGGGGCCTAGCGTGGCTGCCAGACCCCTGGGAGGTGAGACCAGGTGTCTACTTGTTCACCTGGCAGGCGGGGCAGCTGGCAGCCGCCCCCGGGAGTGCTCACCTGTCATGGCTGTGTAGCCCAGGAAGCATGCGATCTTCTCCTGACACAGCTCCTGCTCCTCGTAGGTCAACAGCTGGTAGAGGAACTGCCAGAGCACCTGCTTAGCAGGTGTGTCCAGAACGGGGTACACGTCAACAATGAGGGTATCGATGCTCCTGCAGTGGGGGTACAGAAGCAGGGAGCTCATCACTCAGGGCTGTGGACCAGGAGGCGGTTCCAGGCCCTGGAATTCAGCTCCCGCCTCGGCCCCCACCCTTGAAAGACAGAGCAGAGAGGACAGGAAAGCAGTCTGCTCTGACTCAAATCCCAGCTCATTGGCAGATCACTTACCTAGCATTATCCAAGGTTCTGGGTTCAATTCCCACCACTGCCACCACACACAAAAAAAATGTAATAGTCAAATCCCAGCTTTGCCGTTTACCAACTAAGTGACCTTTGTCAAGCTACTTAACTTTTTCTCTTTTGCTTGGTCTGTAAAATTGAAAATAAAAATAGCATCTACTGGGCAGGAGATCTCAGCTGGCAAAGGTGTGAGCACTGTGGCATGCATGGCCCCATATTCAATAAGCACATGTTTTTTAAAGAAAGATTGAGGGTCAAGATGAAGGAGAACGTCACAGAAAGTTGTTAGAATCCCTTTTACATGTGATGAAGTTCCAGAATCCACTATGGAGATGGTTACATATATTTCCAAGTATGCTAAAACCCCAAACCACTGAACTGCACAGTTCAATGAATGAATTGTGGCCAGAGAGATAGATGGATGGCTCAGTGATTAAGAGCATTGGTGTTGTGGGGTGGTAGTGTGCTTGCCTTTAATCCCAGCACTCAGAAGGCAGAGGTGGGCAGATCTCTCTGAGTTCAAGGCCATCCTGGTCCACAGAGGGAGTTCCTAGACAGTAAGGTCTACACAGAGAAACCATGCCTCCAAAAACCAAAAATAAGAACATTTGTGCTATTATTGCAGAGGACCCAGGTTCAGTTCCCAGGCACCTGTAACTCCAGTTCCAGGAGATCTGATGCCCTCTTCTGGCCTGCATGGGCAGTGCACATGTGTGGTACACTTACATGCAGGCAGAATACTCATACACAGAATTTTTAAAGTTAAAAACAAATAAATGACTGAATTATATAGCACGTGAATTATATTGCATTATATATTATTTAAAGGTTGTAATCACATATACTTCAAACCAAAATAAATGTATTGCTATACTTGCCATAAGACATGACAGACATAGCTCTGGTTTAAAAAAAAAAAAAGATTCCAAGGGCCTAGGTGGGAGCTGGTGAGGTTTCTTGACTGATGTCCATTAACTGTTTCTGCCTACCTCAATTCACAGAAACGTCTGCATTTGCCCAAGATGTCAGAGTCCAGGTTTATGTGGGCATGAGGCAATGGCCTTTAGTCTCAGCACTGAGGAGGTGGAGACAGGCTGGTCTCTGTGACTTCCAGCCCAGCTACTTGCTGCGTAGCAAGACCGGTCTCAAAAGTAAATAGACGAATACATTTAAAAGTTGGGGTTTGCCCTAAGGCACTTAAACTCCCATAATACTAGCTATTGCCTTCTTAGAGCTTTCTCTCCACCCAGCAAGGGTGAGGAGGCACAGGCAGGAGACTAGGATTGCCAGGGTTAGGTGGGCTTGGGTGGGGCCCAAATAGGTTAGGTCCCTACCACCGCTATGCCCAGGGCACCTGTGCTGGAAGAAGCTCTCAAGAGCCCGACAGACTCCATAGCGCTCAGGAGGAGTGAGGAGGTGGTCCAGCTGCTGGCTGAAGGTCCTCCCCTGCACTCGGATACTGGAAGGGAGGATGTCTGCCACCCACTGCAGCGATGTGAGAGCCGACGACCCGGTCGGGGAATCCAAAGAATCTGAATCTGCGGGGGACCACAGGCATGGGGAGGTGCGGGTGACCCAGAGTCACCAGGTTAGGCGCAGTTTCCCAGGCAGCTGGGGTCAGCCATCTTCCGAGCTGGGGCGTGCAATATATTGGACAGGCCCTTTGTAGAGAGCACTGAACAGCACTGAACGCTGCGCATTGGGCTCTATAGCACCCCCTGGCGGTGTTCCTGGGAAGCGACCAAAACAGTCCTGGGAAATCTACGACTTGATAGTCTCACCGCTGGCAAAAGGGACCGGTCCTTCCTCTACCACCAGTGTGGGCATTGCGCCACTGCCTTGCAACATGGACACCACCTTGTCGTGGGAGCAGTTCCTGCAAAGGAGATGGCCCAGGAGGGCCTGACAAAGTGAGCTCTGTCCATCACCCAGCAAATCCACTGTTCATTCAGGACTAGTCAGGACTCTTTGATATAAGTTAAGGCCTCGTGCAGTAGAAGCCCAGGCATTGGACAGCTTGACCTTCAGATGCCCTGGGCTTGGCATTCCTGGGCATAGAAGGAGCTATTTCCATGACAACACAGATATTTCAATGACTCCCCTCCAGAGAAAGAGATAATCGGTCTTTTCCATTCTGTGTCCCCAACATGTAGCTGCAATATTTTCAGCCGGAAGGATGGACTAGAGGTTCTGGCAAAGTGGAAGGATGGAGTCAAGTGGAATCCCCACTACTATGGTGGCACACAACTGTAATCCCAACACTTAAGGAGCTGAGGCAGGAAGATTTGCAGAATTTGAAGCCAGCGTGGATGACATAGCAAGTCCAACTTGCATGGACAACTAAGCAAGACCTTATCTCAAAAAAAAAATTAAAAAAGACTGTCATGGTAGCTCACACCTGTAATCCAGCACTCACTGGAGAAAGGTGGGTTTTCATGAATTCAAGGCAAGTCTGGGCCACATAGTGAGTTCCAAACCAGCCTGGGATACAAAGTGAGACACTGTTTAAAAAAAGAAAAATCTTAAACAAAGGGCTGAGGATGTAGCTCTGAGATAGTGTTTGCCTAACCAAGGGCCTTGTGTTCGGTCCCCAGTATGAACGGAAAAATAGCCTTCAGGGGAAGATGGATAGGCCCAGGAGACAAAGGCCATAGGACATATGTCAGAAGGGGGTCAGGGCCACTATTAGTGTTCAAGAGGTGAAAGTCTTGGAGGATGACTCATCCCCAAGATCACAAGACACCTCAGGGGCTGCTGACCTCATGTCCAGTCCATTGAGGAAGAGGATCCGGTCACCTGACTTGAGGGAGGCATTTTCAGCGGGGCTGCCTGGAGGAGAGAGAAGGTATATAGTCAGTTGACCACCTCATAGCAGAATTGTATGGGACTCTCCGATCTCAACCCCAGTGAATGAGTCAGATAACCATTCTTCAGTTTTACAGGTGAGAAGTGAGACTCAGAGCTGTCTAGATGGTTTAGGGGGTAGGGAAGCTCATCTGACTACCCGAGTTTGGTCCCTGAGACCCACATGGTAGAGAGAACTGACTATTACAGGTTGTTGTCTGTCACACACACTCACTGGATGATACATGTGTGCTTCTCCTCCAAATAAACAAGTGCAATTTAAAAAGAAGAGAAAGGAGATTTAGATACAGCTGAGGCCTGTAAGCTTGCATTTTACATGCAGAACAACCAATCCACACCCTGAGCACCACCTGCCTTACTCAGCTTGGGGCTAGGAACCAGACAGTCAAAAGGGACAGCAGCCCCTAGACCAAGAGCCCATTGACATTGTTCAAAACCACTGCGATGGTTTTAATATTCTCAACTGGACAGAACCTAGAATCACTTAGGGCCAGGCCTCCAGGCATACCTGTGAGGGATTATCTAAATTAAGGCTGGCCTCTGAGATATGAGGGAGTGTCTCCATCATGTTAACCCAATGTGAGGAGATCCCTTCTAACCATGGGCAGAGATGTTCCCTGGGAAGGGAGGCTGAATGCCTAAAATAGAGAAGGCAAGCCAAGTACTGGCATTTCACCCTCTGCTTTTTTTCTTTTATTTTCATGTGTGTGCACGTGGCATGCATGTGTGTACATGTGTTTTCATGTGTGTAGATGCATGTATATGTGTGGATGGCTGTGCATGCATGTGCAGGTATATAGCAGAGGCCAGAGATTAATGTCATCCTCCAATGATCTTCCACCTTGTTCCCTGAGGCAGGGTCTCTCAGTCAAGCCTGGAGTTCATCCATACAGCTAGCTTGCTCTGGGAGTCCCATCTTCTCCTTCTAAGACTGGAATTACCAGCACATTGCTGTCCCACCCAGAATTTTGTATGTGTTCTGGGGATCCAAACTCCAGTCCTCATGTCTACTCAACAATCGCTCTGACCATCTCCCCAACCATTACATTCTGGTTCTTAACTCTGGATGCGATGTGACTCTCAGGCATAGATAGCGTTACTAGAGAGAGCTACAACATGGGTTTTCACCTCATCCCTGAGGGTAACCTGTTCATTCCTCACCAGGCAAGACAGATTCAATCCAGACCGGTCCGTGGCCGCGCAGGGTGAAGCCGAAACTCTTGTTACCCTTGTAGACTCGAACAGTCCTGGGGGAAAGGATGAGATGGGGTTGGAGGTGGGTGACAGGCGGATGTCTTATGTCCTTGTCCTCCCAGATACCCACTGTACGAATCTCCGACTCAAGCTCGTGCATGATCGGGAAATGTGCCTTACTGTCACCCGCGTGCCCTGTATACCTGCGAGGGCCCCCAGGGCCAGTACGACCGCCCAGCAGCGAGGCCGCCTTGCGTGGGGGCGGCTCATCAGGACGGCGTGGCGCGGCGCTGGCGCGCGTGGACACTAGGAGGCGCTCGGGACGCTCCTCGCTGCGGCTCCGGCGCAAACGCTGTGCGCCTTGAGCCCTCCGAGCGCGGCACAGCTTGCCTAACAGACCCTGCGACACCACCTCGTCGAAGCGTGCCCGGTGCTTCTTGGGGATAAAGATCCTGCAAAGCAAGGGCCGCAGAGTCAGGCACGGCTCCTGACTACATCCCAAAGATGCCTCCTGGTGGTTCTACTGTCCCTTCCTAGGGGTGACCAGGGAAATGTTCACTCTCCCCTTCTGTGAGCAGACTTGCATTCCCAGCTGTTGTAGACCTGGCCACATGAGGGCTCAGCAGACAGAAGCACTTGCTGTCAAGCTTGAAGACCTGAGTTTGACTCCTCTTCACTCACATGGGCGACAGAGAACTGACTATCCTAGACATCAGGAGTGCAGCTTCACCCCGCCTTGGAAAAGCCACACGAACTGTCCCCATAATACTAACCTTTGCGGGGCTTTCCTGTTCCCAAAGTAGTCTATGGAGGATTCCAGCTCCTGTCTGTCTTCCATCTCTGTCTGTTCTCTCCCTCCATCCTCTCCTGTGCTTGCGTCTAGCAGGACAAGGCCAGGCTAATGCTCTCCTTCTCCCCCCTGCTTATTTCTAGGTGATTGCTAAAAAAACTACACCAGCCGTCCGTGGGATGTCTGACTTCCTCCGAGAATCCTTATACTTGCAGTTTCTCTGCCAGCAAGGGTGAAGGCAATTACCACCTCCAAGCTTTTGGCTCTGCCTGGGTCTTCCCCCCTCCCCTTTAATTTTTGTCTTAAAAGAATGATTTTTATTATTTTAAAGTGTGTGTAGGTGTTTCCAGCCCCCTGCATGTGTTTAATAAACCTCTGTCCATTTGTCCCTGCCTGATTCTGGGGCTCAACCATGAAGGCCTTGTGGTACTCTCCAAGGTGTCGCCCTGCAGGTGGCGGGAGAAGACAGCTTCCGTGAAACATCCACACCCTGGGATAAGCCTTTGGTGCCTGTAATTCTAGGAGCTCTCCAAAGCCTGAATTTGTAGCTGTGCTGTGGTCCACAGTGATGGGAGAGGACTTGGCACTTGAGCAGGAAGGGTATGTGCATGTCTGTGAGTGATCCAACCCCATCTCTACATAACAACTTAACACCGTGATGGACTTACTGATCCACTGCAGAACATTCCAAGCCATACAGAAATCTGTAACTTTTCAGGGTGACACAGCTGGCCTCTGACACAGCTGGAATCGAGGCTCATGACACTAGCAAGAGCTTCCTGGCTGTGCCCCAAGGCTCCCTTCCCTCTTCCTTGTACCAGGAGCCAATGCCACGGGCATGGTGGGGAGTCAGGAGAAAAAGAGCAGGGGTGCACTGCCTTGGCATACAGCTGAAGTAACCCTCTCCTGAACTTGCTCTGTAGCTCCACCAGCCTCTGTGGGTAAGGTTAACAAGGCCCCCTGGGGAGAATGAACTCCCCTGTGAGACAGAGGCATGCAGATTCTCCAGCAGGGCTCATGCTAGCCCTGCCCCCAGGGAGTTCTGCTTCTGATTGGATACTCCAGGTAACCAGGAGGTGTCCTGAGCCTGACACTTCCATCTGCCTGCAGTCACAGCCCTCTCCTTACCCTCCTGCCTCATGTCCAGGCAAAGGATGTCCACCTCATACCCTCAACTTCAGCCCCAAGCTCTGTAAGGCATCAGACCCAGATTCAAACCTGGGGATGGGTCAAATGCCCAGTTCAGTCTGACAGTCAACACCAAGTATTCAAGGCCCTGCTTGTCAGGTGGGCACAAACTGGGGAGGTGGAAGGTCTAGTGGCTAGTGCTCTGCTTGGCATCCTGGAGCATAGGCCAAGGCCGTCTGCTGAGCCAGACACCCTTCCTGGTTGGCATGAACCTTCCTGCGTCACCATCACTGTCTGGCCCAGCCACCCCAGTTCCAGCACTGCTGTAGGTTAATTAAAGCTGGCACAGCCAGATGCAGTGGGACCGAATTCATTATAGGGACAGATCATTGCCTTTTTGACTATGACAACCCAGCAATGGGTCTCCAAGGCTCTTATGCCCTTGCTATGCCAACAGGCCTTCCGAAGTTCCCAGGGTTCTTTCTGGGAGTCACAGTACATAACCTTCCACTGGGTCAGTTCTGCTACCAGAACGTCACCTAGGATCCCTTGCTTGTGTGTAATCTATCCCAGCTCAGCTTTCTTCACCTAGCGCTTGATCTCCAGCCAGCGAACTGGTGGAGACGGGGTAGGGGCTTCGGAGGCTGCAATCTGCAGTTCTCGACAGCGGAAAGGTCCTGTCTTCCAAACTCAGAAGTTCATGCGATGCGCTATGTTCTTATCCAGAGCACTCAACAACCCCATTCTTGGACCTGTGTCCTATCCTGTGAGCCAATGCAGGGAGGTTGGCTTTTAATACTAACCTTTCACTTCATCCCAACTTCTCCGGTTGCGCGTGGGTCCTGGGTACCCACCATCTAAACCTCACCTCCCACACACCCACCAGTTTATTCTCATTGTTCCCAGTTTATGGGCTCCGCCCAGTCTCGATAGGTTGCCCACCCAGAACAGGGAACCCCCCTAGATGTCCCAGCCCCCTTCCCCCCACCTCAAGCTGGGCGGATGTGGGCGCAGGGTTCCCAGGGGCGCAGAACGCGATGGGGAAGCTACCTAAAGTGCCGAGAGAAGCCCTGGTCCTTCCCCATCTGGATCCGGGAGGGCGGCGCGGCAGGTGCGCACCGGGTAGCGGGTGGTGGAGCCCACGATGACAGAGAGGGCGCCCGCGACTCCACGCGCCTTTGCCGGGAGAGCCTGCGTGGCCCCTCCCGGCCAGTCCCGCATGGTGGCCCGGTGCCCGCCTCTTCTTGGTGACTCCGCCCCGGCGCCTCTTCTCTCCCCGCCCCAGGACCCTTCACTAGCTGGTGCACCCGAAGGAGTGGATCGGGTGATTCCAAGCTATTAAGCCTTTTCCTTTGACTCTCTTCTCTGTCCCTCTCCAGGAATCTTGCCTGGAACATCACTCGCCCAGCGAGTCCCCCTTACAGTGGCTGCAACACTATGCCACAGCTAATACTTTTTAGAAGAATCCCCTTTTGTAGTAGAGGGAGTTGGCCAGTGTGGAAAATGCCCTTCCTACATATCCAGGGGAAGCTAGGGAGGAGGACTTAAATGCCCAGGCCAGGGCCAGAGACTGCACTCCAGAGCAGTGGGTGGCCATGCTACGGTTTATGGATTCTAGGGGAGGTGGAAGAACCCCAGGGGTTTTGAGGTCTTGGTACTCCCAGAGAAGGGTGATGCTGGAAGCCAACCCAGGAAAAGGTGTAGGATGGGACAAGAGGCTAGATTTTTCTCCCCAGTACTGAGCTTGAACAAAGGTTTCACACGTACTACTTAAGTACAGCACGTTTTAGTTATTTTGACACAGGGTCTTATGAAGTTCCCCAGGATGGTCTTCAACTCACTTTAATACAGACTGACCTCAAATTCTCCTTCTCTCTCCCTTTGCCTTCTCCTCCCTCCCTCCCTCCCTTCCTCCCTCCCTCCCTCCCTCCCTCCCTCTCTCCCTCCCTCTCTCCCTCCCTCCCTCCCTCTCTCCCTCTCTCCCTCCCTCCCTCCCTCCCTTCCTCCCTCCCTCCCTCTCTCCCTTCCTTCCTTTCTTCCTCCAGATAAGGTCTTATGTAGCCCAGGGCAGCCTCAAACTTGCTATGTAATCATGGATAATCTTGCACTTCTGACCCCACTCCCACCATCATCTCCTGGGTGCTAGGGTTAGAAGCATATACTCCCAGGCCCGGTTTTATTCCATTCAGGGAATCAAAGTGAGGGCTTTGTGTGTGCTAGGTAAGCATACTGTCAGTTGAGCCTCATTCCCACCCCAGGCCTTGAAGTTTTGATCCTCCTGCCCCAGATTCTCAAGTAAACTGGATTATAGGCCTGTTCCCACCACATTTGGCTGAGTGGTCAAATCTCAAAATACAGAAGTGGACTGTGGATGTGACTCAGTAGTACAGCATCTGCCTGGAACCTCCCAGTGAGGGGCTGGGGTGTGGCTCAGTGATAGAGCCCCTGTCTAGAATCTCCCAGTGAGGGGCTGGGGTGTGGCTCAGTGATAGAGCCCCTGCCTAGAATCCCCCAGTGAGGGGCTGGGGTGTGGCTCAGTGATAGAGCCCCTGTCTAGAATCCCCCAGTGAGGGGCTGGGCTGTGGCTCAGGTTAGAGCTAGAATCTACCAGCGAGGAGCTAGAGCGTGGCTCCATGGTAAAGGACTTCCCTAGCAAGAACAAAGTCCTAATGTTCAATCCCAGCCCTGAAAAACAAATCAAAAATACTAACAGGGCATGGTGCTGTCCAACACCTCAATCTGCCTCCATCCATTTTGGCTCCACTGCACAGCTGTAACCTTTCAGAGCTATTTCTCTCTGGTGGCTGCAGCAGCAGCAACAGCACCTATACCTCCTCATGCCACACTTCCTTGCCCTCCCCCATGCCTGACAACTCTCAGGCACAGTTCATGACAGGTCAGGAGGCAACCATGGTGCTACTTGCCAGCATCATTGTCCCAGAACCAGTCACCCCCAAAGGCTATGAAAACTGTCCACTGGGCTGGCAACAGAGAAGATGAAAGTATCGGATGAATGCTCATGCTGCAGTCTGGACATGCTGCTTCAGGGCCAGGCCACTACAGTCAGAGACATCCCCAGATAGGGTGCCAGTGGCGGGGGCATTTGGCCAAGTGACTTGTGACAGCATGGAGTACACACCAGTCTATATGTGTGGACTGGACTACCATGCCTATCTCAGCGAGAGAGCATTATCAAAGATCATTCTAGAACAATCATTCTCAATCAGAGGCAATTTTGCTCACACCTCTACCCATTGAGGACATTTGGCACTGTCTCAAGATTTTTTTGGCTGTCACAAAATGACAGCTGGGAGAAGGATGTGTTGCTGGTCCTTTCAAACAGCCTATGTGCACGGGGCAGCTCCCAGTCACAGAGAAATAGTGGGACCCCCCCTCCACGTTGCACTGAGTCACCTAGACTCCATATGGGAAGTCAACACTAACTGATCACACACTATGCTGGGCACTTTGGCCAACATCAGCTCATACAATCCCCCCAATAACTGTATTATGCCTTTTTATTGCTTTGTTTGTGGTGTGCGTGTGTACCCTATGCATGCTTGCATGAATGTGGGTGCATGCACATGTGAGGGTGCATGCACTTGTGTGCTTATGCATGTGGAGGACCCAGGTTGATACCCCACTCATCCTCCATCCCTCTTCCGCCTTGTTCATTAAGGAAGGGTCTCTTAGTCAAACGCAGAGCTGATCGACAAGGCTAGTCTTGCTAGCCTGCTTGCTCTGGGGATCCTCATCTCTGTCTTCTGAGGCTGAAATTACAGATGGATGATTAATATGGGTTCTGGGGATCTGAACTCTGGCTCTCATGCTCATGCCAAAAGCACATGAGCCACTGAGTCACTTTCCCAGCCTTCATAAATAAATATTTTTATTTTTTACTCTCTTGAGACAGAACGTCTGACTGGTCTCAAACTCATAGAGACCCACCTGCTTCTGTCTCCCCAGCACTGGGATTAAAGGCGTGTGCTACTATAACTGGTAGCTCTGATTGTCCTGGAACTCGCTTTGTAGATCAGGCTGGCCTCGAACTCACAGAGACCTGCCTGCCTCTGCTTGCCAAGTGCTGGGATTAAAGACATGTGCCATCATGCCTGGCTTTGTTTATTTTTAAGTGTGTGTGTGTGTTTGTGTGTGTGTGTTTGTTTGATACCCTTGCCTGAGTGTGCATGTGGAGGTCAGAGGTCAACATGAGATGTCTTTTTCAATTGCTCTCCACCTTTCTTTCAGACAGGCTCTTTCACTGAACTTGGAGTGAACTGATTAGGCTAGAATGACCAGTGGGCCCCAGGGATCCTGTCTCCACCCACCCCCCATGCTGGCATTGCAGGCTGTGACACTGTACCTTGCTTTTACATGGGTGCTGGAGAACAAAACTCGGGTCCTTGTGCTTACACAGCAAGCACTTTGCCAATTAAGCTGCTGTCTCTCCCGTGCAACTATAGCATAATTATTTTGTGTATGTGGTACAGGGAATCACACTCAGGTCTTGGGCATACTTAAAAGAACTCTACCACCGGACTATCTGTTGTTTTTGTTTTCCTTTCTTTGTGATGAGGTCTCTTTATGTAGCTCAGGCTGGCCCTGAACCCTATATGTAGACTCAAACTTGCAACCCTACCGCAGGCCCCTGAGTACTAATAAAAGTGTGACCCCTGTCCCCTGCATTCGGCTCTAAGGCATCATGGTGTCGCTGACACTTAACACCAAATAAAAGAGGAAAAGGGGGCACAGGTGATCTCTACTCTACCCCAAGGTCTCCAGCTAATCTGTTTTGCTTATAGTCAGTCCAACTCACTTATAGTGGTTCCTACCCAGAAACCCTCTTTATCAAACAGTTTATGGAGATCAATTTACTTCCTCAAGGTTGTACCATCCTCACAGAGACCCCAGAGCTCCATGTGGAAATCCCAAATCGTACCACGTAGCCATGCCCTGTTCTCTACCTACCTTTCCTTCCCTCCCCCAGCAGACATATCCCCTGCAACTGCTCCTTCTGGTCCCTCCTTGGACACATCACACTTTCCAAACTGCCTGTCCTGTCCTAATTAGAAAGCCATTTTACCACTTAATCAGACTGGGATTCCTTGGGGGACAGACCCAAATTAGGCTCTAAGTGACAGCAAGAAATGCTATTGTAAGGGGACACGATGCCTTTGCAAACTGTGGCCACCAATCTGGACACATTCAAGGTCTTCACTGCCCTAAAGGATAGCTACTCACCCTGTATTTATGTTAAATACTTAAAGTGTAATTAATGCGAGCCTGTAACCTGTATATATATGGGACAGTTTTCATGTAGCCCAGGTTGGCCTGAAACTTGCTATGTAACCTAGGATGACCTTGAACTTCTGAGCCTTCTGCCTCCACCTCTCTAATGCTGAGATTACAGGCATACATCACTATCCCTGTTTTGTTTTGTTTGTTTTATTTGTTTCTCTGTGTAGTCTTGGCTGTCCTGGATCTCACTCTGTAGACCAGGCTGGCCTCGAACTCATAGAGATCCACTGTTTCTGCCTCCCCGGTGTTGAATGCTAGGATTAATGGTGGATGCCAACACTGCCCGGCCATCATGTCTGGTTTTATGCAGTGTTGAGAACTGAACCCAGGGCCCTGCTATGTAACCCTGGCTGGCCACAAACTTGCAGTCTTTTTGGCTTAGCCTCCCAAGTGCTGGGATTACTGTTATGTGATTCGAATTTATGAAAAACCCATCCATATTAAATAGTCACATGTACTTAGTGGCTACTATGGGAGAGGGCTCAGGATCATGGTCTTACTTCACAGGTCTTCTCTCTTCTGCCTGGGCTATTGCAGCTACCCCAAACTCTACCCCTGCACCCCACACACAAACACCCCCCTTTGCTGGCATCGTAGTCATACATCTGTGTTCCAAGTGGCTTCTAACCTTCTTGGAAAAATTATTTATTTATAGCCAGGGCCTTGATAAATCATCTAGGCTGGCTTTGAACAGTCCTCCAGCTTTAGCCTGCCATGTAGCTGAGATTCAGGTGTGGCTCTAAAGAAAACTTTACATAGGTACACACACACACACACACACACACACACACCATCAATCCTCCTCCTCATCATCACCACCACCACCTTTTATCTGTTTAGCCTCTTATTTAAGCCTTGTCTTTCTGCTATGTGGGCTCTCTGGGCCAGGGTAGTGATTCCCCATTGTCCTTACTCAATGGCAGGCAAGGGTGTCCCTGTTCTTGTGTTCTGGTACTAGATGCTTGGTGTTGAACTCTTCTTGGGGACTGACCTTCCTCTCCCCAGAACTCACTTTCGGCCCCCTCTGAGCTTTTTTTTTTTTCCCTCTGAGCTTTTTGAGGTATAAAGTTGACACCTGCTGAGTCCTTGCCCTGATTGCTGCAAGTCTGGGGCAGCAATGGACTGCCCCTAAACTTGGATCTCAGAATTAGCCAAGCAGGTTGTGATGATTTCTTGTCCCTTCTGAGACTTCTCCAAAAGACTGCACTCAAATCTCCAACACCCCCAAGAAACCAGCATACAGTGGGGACTTTGGCAGCTGGCCAACTTCAGGGAGCGAGGTGTTAGGAAATGCAGAGCGGTTGTAAGGGTTGGGGGGGAGGCGTTGTCTGAAGTCCCCGCTGCCATGTTATCCTCCTTTCGGAGCCCAGCTGGGCGCCGCCCCCTCCTCCAACAACCTCCCCAATTTTCCTGTCGCACTTGACACCCGCTGGCAACACAGGCTTTCCATTCATCCTCCCAGCAGCGCCCCAGGGAAGCAGCGGGCCACCGGAGCATCCCAGGGTGTCCAGGGGTTCCCGCTTTTTCCAGGCTCTAAATCTAGACCACCTCCTCCCTTCCTGATCTTCAGCGGACATGGGCCTGTCGGTCGCTCGGGGACGAAAAGCAGCCAGCAGAGAGGCAGCCGCCTCTGCCGCTGTCCCAGGAGAGGTGGCGGAGACAGAAGCCCCGGAGCATCGAGATGAAACCAGGAAATCTAAGCGATCCGACAGCTGAGTCTGACCTAGAGACAAACGCGCCAAGTTCTCCGGGGACAGCCGCGTCCCCCTACAAGCCCAGCCCTTATGGAACTAGGCAGAACCGAGCTTTGCCTATCTGTCACCTCCCCAGGAAGTCCTCAGCCCCCTGCATCAGCTCCGCGATAAATTCCGCCCTAGAAATAACTTTTTTTTTCCTATTCAGAGCTTTTTTTTCTTCTTACCAGCAAGAGTCAGTCCCCTTACTCACCCCAGGCAGCTCATGGTGGCCTCTTTCGGTGGCCTCCAATGCGTTACGCTGCAGAGTCGAGATGCTGAGCCCGGGCTGGTGGGGGCGGGGGGGGGCTGGCCAGCCCAGTCCCTGACATTGGCCAGGCCCAGAGGGAGGGGCAGACCGCGGGGTGAATGGCAGCGAGGGGAGGGGAGGGGGCAGATTGAGCTCGGGAAGAGGGAGGGGGAGGGGCAATCGCTGGCCCCAGAGTCAAGCGCCCGGAGAGGAAGCCAGGCAGGACTCACAACCAGAGTTTGAAAAACCCCAGAGGCTGTCTGATCGAAGCCATAAGTAGATAAGGCCCTCAGTGAAGGAGGCCAGGGGTTGGAGATATTCCTGGGTCACTCCAAGCCAGGACCCACCAAGAATTTTCTTCAATAAACTTGGAGGGTGAACTGAAGAGATGAAAGGGCACAGTAAACTGGGCCCAAGATTCTGTGAGAGCCACTGATTTGCTGTGTGATCCTCTCAGACCCTCAATTTGACTATATGAACAAAGTTGATTTGGTGACAGAGTGTCCTTCAAGGATCTAGTGTGGTCCATGACGCACAGCACCACCACCACCATCACCACCATCACCACCATCACCATTATCAAACTGATATCAAAGAGCACTAGTGTAGCGGCAGCGGGGTGGGGGTGGGGGAATGGCTCAGTGGATAGGGTGTTTGCCCAGCAAAGCATGAAGACCTAAGTTCCTGTCCTCAGCACCGACAAAAAAAAAGCCGCATGCAAGTGGTTCCTGGTAACTCTAGCATTGAGATGGAGGGTGGGGGCAGACAGGGACCTGGGGCTCCCTGCCTGACCAGTCAGTCTGTCTAACTGGAGTGTTCCAAGTTCAGTGAGAGGTTTGTGTTAGTTAGTTAGTTAGTTAGTTAGTTAGTTAGTTTGTTTTTAGGGTTTCTCTGTAGCTTTTGAGTCTGTCCTGGAACTTGCTCTATAGACCAGGCCTGAAACTCAAAAGATCTGCCTGGCTCTGCCTCCCGAGTGCTGGGATTAACGGCGTGTGCCACCATGCTTGGCTCAGTGAGAGATCTTGTCTCAAAAAAATAAGGCAGAGATGGCTGGGTATAATGTTGGACAACTTTAATTCCAGAGCTCAGGAGATAGAGGCAGGCAGATCTTCATGAATTTGAGACCAACCTGGGTTATATAGCAAGGTCCAGGCCATCCAGGGTTACCCAGCAAGACCCTGTACACACACACACACACACACACACACACACACACACACACACACACACACACAGAAAGAGAGAGAGAGAGAGAGAGAGAGAGAGACAGAGACAGAGAGAGAGACAGAGAGAGAGGAGGGGGTTCATGCCTGTAATTACATCACTTGGGAGGTCAGGGTAGGAGAACTGATGAGTTCAAGGTCAGCATCAAGAAGCGGGGCCTGATAACAGGCGGCAGAGAGTGGACATTGCCTGTAGGGTTGGGTGGGTGTCAGGACCCATACAGAACTGTCTCCTTCTAATGTGCAACTGCTCAGTCACAGTATGGAGCTAGGAGTGTCTGGGTGTTTTATGGGAGACTCCTGCCATCTGGGTTTGGGATGGAGTCAGCTGTGGCTGTGCCTCAGGTAGTGACCCCTCACAGGCCAGCATCAGCTGTCCCTTTCACCATCACAAACACAACCACAGTGACAGGTTCGCCTTTGCCACCATTCAAGTGCAGACCCCTTGTTACCACTTGGATTGGAAAGATGCCCTCCTTGAATGAAACCCACTTGGTCTTACCATCTTGACGTCAACAGGGTTACCTGAGGTTGTCCAGGACTGGCCCCTGGGCCTCGCTGGGCAGCACCAGAGTAAGAGCCCACACCAACTCATCCACCCGCTGCTCGGCAGCAAACCGCTTCAGTGCAGCAAACACCTGTTCCTTGGCTGTTGACTGGCCCCCCAAGATGTCATCTACCTGCAAGGACAGGATCACAGGTAGAACCATGGAGAGTTCTCAGTTTTCCTCCACAGGAGCCACCATTGTTTGCTTATTTGTTTGTCTTAAAAAAACATTTCTTTGCATATCTGCAGGAATCAGTTCTTTCCCATTGTGTGTGTTCTAGGGATTGAACTCAGGTCATCAGGGCTTTGGGTGAGGGCCTTTACCTGCTGAGCCATTTCATCAACCCAGGAAAAGCCATTCCAAGGAATCTAAGGATCAAAGGACTTAATATAAGGGCTTCAGCGCGTGCCAGGCACTCACTAATTGCTAGTTACTATTATTATAATACTATGCTGGTGTTCCATTCCACAACACTGTTTACTTAGGGTCCCTACAGAGAATATTCTGATTACACAAAAGCACTGTAGAAGGTGTGCTCTGCCGTGACTTTAAACTCTCTCTCTCTGAACTTTTTTTGGGTGTTCTTTCTCTTCATGCACATAATGTTAGCTAATGTTACTAAAGGAACATCTATTCAGAGGGGCATGGGGGCCATTGAAACTGGGTGTGCAGATGCACACAGTGTTCCTGGAAAGTAGCTTGTAAACATACCCAAAGCGCCTTCTCTCTCTCCTCCCCCTTCCTCTCCCTCCCCCCCTTCCTCCCTCTCATGTTAGTTTTTGTTTCTGTCTTGCAGTACTGAGGATGGAGTCCAGGGTTTCTTCGATGTTAGGCAAGTGCCACTAAACTCCATCCCCATCTCCTTGTGTGTGGTGTTTATGTGTGTGTGTATTCATGTGTGTGCACATGCGTGTGCATGTGGAGGCCAGAGGACATCATTGGGCATCTCCCTCAGTGGTTCTCCACTCCCAGTCTCTTTTATCTTTTTTCTTTAGAGATGGTCCCACTCAGCTGTCCACTGAGCTTGAATCTCCACTGCAGCCAGGCAGGCCTGGAACTTGTCATCCTCCTGCCTCAGCTTTCTGGGTAGCTGAGATAACAGGCCTGTGCCACAAGACTGAACTGGTTTTCTTTTCCTTTTCCTTTTTCCCTCTCTTGCACCCTCCTTTCCTTCCTTCTTTCCTTCCTTCCTCTCTTCCCTCCCTCCCTCCCTGTCTTCCTTCCTTCATTCCTTCCTGTCTTTCTTTTTCTTTTATGGACAGGTTCTTGCTATGTGCTCTCAAACTTGGTATCCTCCTGCCTCTGCCTCTGAAGTGCCTTAGATCAGGCATATGTCACCACACCTAGCTCGGGCCTACTCTTTCATTCAATGACCTGATATCTGTGAATTCATTCAAGTAATGTCCTAACAAAACAGGTGCATGATGACCTATGAGTGAAGTTTAATCTTTCTGTCATTACATTTTTATTACACTGTGTGTGTGTGTGTGAGTGCGTGCACATGCGTGTGCACCACAACACATGTGTGGAGGTCAGAGGACCATTTCTGGAGTCAGATCTCCTAGGCTGTGGATTACAGGCACTGAATTTAGGAGTCAGGCTTGCACAGCGAGTGTGTCCTTTCCTGCTGAGCAATTTTGCTGGTCCTGTTACTGAATCTTGGAAATGAACTCATGTCTCACTGCTTTCTTTGAAAAAAAAAATGGGGCTAAAAAGACAGCTCTGTGGTTAAGACTCTCGATGTTCTCCCAGAGGATCTGGGTGAGGCTCCCAGAACCCACCTTAGACAGTTTATAATCTCCAGCTTCAGGGGATCTAATGCCCTCTTTGGGTTTTTGTGGGTACTGCACAAACATGGTACAGGTACACTCAGCCATTACCACATAAGCATAAAATAAGTAAACTCTTTAAAAATGTATTATTATTGTGTATGTGTGTGCATGCTATGGCCCAAGCCTGGAGTTCAGAAGACAACGTTGTGAAGTTGGTTCTCTCCTTCCACCTTTACTTGGGTTCTCGGGATGGAATTCTGGTCACCAGGCTTGTGTGGCAAGTGTCTTTATATACACTGAACTATCTCTAAGGTCCCCAATTGCTTTCTGGGTGGTTCCGCTAGCGCATTGCAGCAGATTTTCTAGAGCAGTGAGAATAGAGGATGAGTTAGCATTAGCAGGTGAAATCGAAGGATTCTAATCAGAAGCCACTCGGTGCGAGTTTGAGTCCCTAGCACTTGGAATCTTTGTATGTCACTGTCTATGCCCACCAGCTATTATCGCTCCTCACCTGACTCCAGTGGAGCTTCAAGCACAGGTCCTGGGGCACAGCAGGTACTCCTTGCATATTTATATGGTAGAGCTAAAGGGTAGCGTTCCCTAAAGTCCCCTGCTCACCTCTGTTGGCTTCCAAGGGGTTAGGACAGTCTGTAACACCAGCCACCCTCACTCCCCCACTCCCTGCACACCTGCGATGCTGCAAGAGCTGCAGGTTTGGAATCAAAGCTGGCAGCAACAGCCTCATTTCAAAAGAGTGTGTGGCTAGCTGCAAGGATGCTTTATGTAAGAAAGAGGAAAAAATAGCTCCCCCCAGGGGCCCAGGCCACAGACCAGTTTTGGTGTCAGTTATTACCCAGATGTTCCCAACCTACATCTAAGCATGAGGCTCCATCGCGGGACACTAATGGATTTTCTATTAAATATCAGCAACTCAAAGGAGCAAAAACTGGGGCAAGCAGAATACTGGTGGGAACCTAGGTGGGGGAGTTGGTCATTATAAACTAGGGAGGGCTCCACAGAGGCCATCTTTTATTGGAATATACCTACTTTTCGGGAGTGCTTGGTAAGCCCCAACCAGAATCCACATACCCCCAGGTTAAAAAACATTACATCGGACGCCAGACCTTCCCTGATTGCCCAGCAGAGTCCATCCTGGGCAAGTCTATATCTCCACTCTACCTTACTGGGTCCTTTAAGCTGCCTTCCAACTCTGCAGGAATTAGATGGGACAATCAGCTCGCTTCATCCCAGCAAATCATCTGGGACAGTAGCAGACGTGATTTGTTTTCTTTTTCTTCACTCCCCCCTCCCCCACCCCCTGTATTTTACACATCCCTGGCTGGCTTCAAACACTCTAGATAGGTGGGGATGACCTTCAACTCTTTTTTTTTACATTTAAATTTTTTATTTTATATGTTAAGGGGGAGGAAACACATGCTATGCAAGTGGGGATCAGAAGATGACCTACAGGAGTCTCCTCAGCATTCCTCCCTACTGCC